GAGTGCGTCGGCGCAGATCCCGGGCCTTGGCCGTAATGCCCCTGGACCGGGGTCCCGGCGCCGGGATATGCATGTTGCTGCTGCTGCTGCTGCTGCTGAGGCGCCTGGCCGGCCGGCCCAGCCGGATGCCCATAGTGGTGCGAGGGCGAGGGGGCCGCACTGCCGGGGCCCGGGGCGCCGGACGGCGCCGAGCCGCCCGCTCCCTGGTAGTACCCACCGTGGTGAGGACTCGGCTGGGTGGCAGCCATGGACCCGGGGCCCGGGGCCCGGGGAGCCGGCGGGCCGGTGCCCGGGCCCCCGGACCCTGGGTGATACCCGGCCCCAGGCCGGCCCGGCTGTGGGTAGCCCCCGTTGCTGTGGCCCGGTGGCCCGGCCGGCCCGGCGGCCGGCATGTGCGGCGATGGAGACATCCCCGGGCGGTGGCCCTGGCCGGCTCCCACCCCGGCGTGGTACATGGCTGACCCCTGGCCGCCGGAGGCAGGCGAGGCAGACTCGCCGCCCGGGGCCCCACCATGATACATGGACCCCTGGGCGCCACCGGCCCCGGCATAGGCCGAGTGGTGCGGTGACTGCTGCGTCGGCGGCGGGGGACCCGGCGGACGGTGCATCGGCGAGGGTCCCGGGCCAGGGGCCGCCCGAGCCCCGGCGCCCGGGTAGTGCGACGCCGCCGTCGCCGCCGCACCGTAGGCGCCAGCGCCGCCGCCGGCGGCACTGCTGCCACCACCACCACCACCACCACCACTGGCTGGATGAGCCCCCGGGTGGGCGTGGTGTGGCGTACTGCCAGGCCCACCATACCCGGCATAGGAGCTCGGCGTGGCGGGCTCATGCGCGGTCGCACCGGAATCCGCCCCGCCCGATCCCGATGGCGCATAGTATGCGGCCGACCGCGAGTCCGGCCCAGTTGGGCCAGAAGGCAGATACCCGGACGCCGCATGGTGGACTGGAGCCGGGGCACCATATTGGTGTTGCTGCTGTTGCTGCTGCTGCTGCTGCTGTGCCTGGGCTTGGGCTTGAGCCTGGGCCTGCGCATGGGCCTGGGCCTGCGCATGGGCCTGGGCCTGCGCATG